AAGAGTAAGAAATTGACCAACCACAGTCGAATGTGAGAAGAATAATCAAATATGATTGGTCAATTTCTTATTCTTACTTCCTACTTCTTACTGCTTACTTCCAATGTAGACGTCCCTTAAGGCTGCGTTCCGAAATTTACTGCCAGTGTTAAAATTCTATAGTATACGTAACATAAACTATAGATTTTCAGTACTAGCAGTGAATTTCGGAACGCAGCCTAAATTGGAAGTAAGTAGTAAGAAGTAGGAACTAAGATTAAGAAATTGACCAATCATAGTTGATTATTCTTCTCACATTCGACTGTGGTTGGTCAATTTCTTATTCTTACTTCCTACTTCTTACTACTTATTTCCAATGTAGACGTCCCTTTGCGTCGTCTACAATGGTAGTAGGAGTAATAGTAATAGCATATTCGACTGGCTCTGGGTTAACCCACTCTGGGTTATTCAGCCTACGTTTATTGGTGGAATAAGTACTTATAAGTTTTATAATTGGCTAGTAGAGACTTATGACGTCATTAATTGCTCTCAGAGCGATTAACCCAGGGCCAGTCGAACACGCTATAAGAAATAAGCAGTAAGCAAATTGACGAATTCCATTCTCACGATTCAAGAATAATCGATTGTGATTGGTCAATTTACTTACTGTTTATTTATTACTACGACTCCTACTGCCATTGTAGACGACACAATAGTCCCGAGCCACAATAGGGTGCGTTCAGATTCCTCATCCGGGTGCACTCTATTACTAGAAACACTATAGTATATGTGACATATACTATAGCACTTCTAGTAATAGAATACACCCGGGTGGGGAATCTGAACGCAGCCATAGGTGTAGTAAGCTTTAAGCCTTAAGAAATTGACCAATCACAGTCGTTATTCTCCTCAAATTTGACTGTGATTGGTCAATTTCTTAAGGCTTAAAGTTTACTATACCTATTGTGGATCGGGACTTAAGGTACCTCGCTAGAAAACATCTTTGATTGGCTACTACGAATTTAGTGAAGTATGTTGATTGGCTACTTTCTGAAATTTCCTAGTCAACAACCAATCAGCGTGTCCAATAAATTTTTACGTCATCGAACGTCAGCCAGTAATGATGCGTACTCGTAATGTGGTGGGGTACCATCTTCGGACGGTGGAATAAGTACGTTGCGGAGTTGCGACGTAGAAGGCGATCGGAGACGTCGCTGTCGCAGCAAAATGGCGACCTCAGATTCTAAGGCTCCGTTACGCACTGTTAAACGGGTACAATTCGGCATCCTTTCTCCAGATGAGATAGTAAGTACTTTGTAAATATTACGAAGTACTCAAGGAAATGTAGTTGTCGTGAAATGTGAATTTATTTCGACAAAATTGTCCCGCGCAAATTGTGGAATCCGAGACATGTCCGAACAATGAGGAAATACCCAGAAATGAAATATACAGACCTCATTTTTCTATTTTTTATCAAATTAGCCAAGTGTGTAAACATTGCATTGTTTATATAGTGATCGAATTCATTTGTGGTTGTAATCTATTTATTTTTTTCACTGAATTCGTTAGAATTGGGTTGTATCGTATTATATGATTAAAATGTAAAAGTTAAAAACGGCCCTACATGGAATAAAAAAATTGTTGAAACCATATTTGTCAAAATTACGAAATTTGTATTATGTATTGCTGAATATTTATGATTAAAGTTTGAAAGTTGGAATTGTTGCTTTAAGTACTGAATTTTCAAGAGCCAAGTTTTACAACATCTGAAATCTGTTATATGATATAACAAATCTGTTATAAATGTGAGATTTGTTATATAGATATAACAAAATTTTATTGGAGCAATTTGAATTTTCATCCACAATCTCTTTATTTTTTCTATACGATCATTATTAACATTTCTATCTTTTGCAGCGTCGTATGTCCGTCACAGATGGCGGTATACGCTTTCCAGAAACTATGGAAGGTGGACGTCCAAAGCTGGGTGGTCTTATGGACCCAAGACAGGGTGTTATTGACAGAAATTCCAGATGCCAAACGTGTGCTGGCAATATGACAGAGTGTCCTGGCCATTTTGGTCATATAGATCTTGCAAAACCAGTATTCCATGTGGGATTCTTAACAAAGACTATAAAGATATTAAGATGTGTATGCTTCTATTGCTCTAAGTTGCTCGTCAGCCCTGTAAGTAATTGGCATACAAAATGTCTTAATAAATGTATTAAAGATTATATGTCATTGTCATGTGATCTTTAATCCAGTATATATTAAAAAGTTAATATATTATTAAATAATACTTACAAATTTTCTAAAAAATTATATATTATATATATAAATGTATGTGATATTTTAAGATGTATGTATATATTGCCTGTATATAAAAAATGAATGAAGATATGAAAAAAATTAGGTTTTGCATGTGAAATTTCATTATAATTCAGATAAAAAAATTTGAAAAGTTAGGAATTACATAAAATAAACAAAATATGATGTTAAGGTAAAAATATATTCAACTGTATTGCATATATATGTACTATACATCCTTATATAGAAAATATAAATATTATTATCATTTCTAATTTTCACTGACTTTGCAACAATTGCACGGGCAATATATTCCTAATTAATTTTTTAAATATTATAATCTAAAATATTAAAAATAATAATATTTTAAAAGAAATTATAATTTTTAAATTCGATGCTATTTGTTTGTTTCCTATGATTTGCAGCATAATCCAAAGATAAAAGAAGTCATCATGAAAACAAAGGGACAGCCACGGAAGAGACTTACGCACATTTACGATTTGTGCAAGAGCAAAAACATTTGCGAAGGTGGAGACGAAATGGATATCAATAAGGAGAACGCCGAGAATCAGCCACTGGTGGAAAGAAAACCCAGTCACGGTGGTTGTGGCAGATATCAACCGAACCTCCGAAGATCTGGCTTGGACGTCACTGCAGAGTGGAAACATGTGAACGAAGACTCGCAGGAGAAAAAAATAGTACTCACAGCTGAGAGAGGCTGGGAGATTCTGAAGCACATTAAGGACGAGGAATCCTTCATTCTGGGTATGGATCCAAAATACGCTAGACCAGATTGGATGATAGTCACAGTGTTGCCGGTACCGCCGTTGTCTGTAAGACCAGCGGTTATCATGTATGGCTCCGCCAAGAATCAGGACGATTTGACTCACAAACTAGCGGACATAATAAAATCGAACAACGAGCTGTTACGCAATGAGCAATCTGGCGCCGCGGCGCACGTGATATCGGAGAACATCAAGATGTTACAGTTTCATGTGGCGACGCTTGTTGACAACGATATGCCCGGCATGCCAAGAGCGATGCAGAAGTCTGGTAAGCCGTTGAAGGCTATCAAGGCCAGACTGAAGGGTAAAGAAGGCAGAATCCGAGGTAACCTGATGGGTAAACGTGTAGATTTCTCCGCGCGTACCGTCATCACGCCAGATCCCAACTTACGGATTGATCAAGTGGGCGTGCCGCGTAGCATAGCGCAGAACTTAACATTCCCAGAGATCGTGACTCCTTTCAACATTGATAAGATGCAGGTGCTGGTTAGACGTGGTAATTCGCAATATCCTGGTGCGAAGTACATAGTTCGCGACAACGGCGAGAGAATCGACTTGCGGTTTCATCCGAAATCTTCTGACTTGCATCTGCAGTGCGGTTACAGGGTCGAGCGACACATTCGAGATGGTGATCTGGTGATCTTCAATCGTCAGGTAATTTTTTAAATTACCGGGGAATTTTTTAAATTAGGTAACGATTTTAAATTAACAATTTTAAGAATTTTAAAATTAACTATAAATTAAGAATTTTAAGAATTTTAAAATTAACTATCTGGTAATTTTTCATAGCCAACACTTCACAAGATGAGTATGATGGGTCACCGTGTCAAGGTGTTGCCATGGAGTACATTCCGTATGAACCTAAGCTGCACGTCACCCTATAACGCGGACTTCGATGGTGACGAAATGAATTTGCACGTGCCGCAGTCGATGGAGACGCGTGCCGAAGTGGAGAATATCCACGTGACTCCGCGACAGATCATCACACCGCAAGCGAACAAGCCGGTCATGGGTATCGTGCAAGATACCTTGACGGCCGTGAGGAAGATGACAAAGCGCGACGTCTTCATCGAGAAGGAGCAGATGATGAATCTGCTCATGTTTCTGCCCAGCTGGGACGGCAAGATGCCGCAGCCTTGTATCCTGAAACCGAAGCCAATGTGGACCGGCAAACAGCTGTTCTCGCTTATTATCCCGGGAAACGTAAATATGATACGAACGCACAGCACGCATCCGGACGAGGAGGACGATGGCCCGTACAAGTGGATTTCGCCGGGTGACACCAAAGTAATGGTAGAGCACGGAGAACTTGTAATGGGTATTCTGTGTAAAAAGACACTGGGTACATCCGCCGGGTCTCTCCTTCACATTTGCATGCTGGAGCTAGGCCACGAGGTCTGTGGACGTTTCTACGGTAACATCCAAACTGTCATTAACAATTGGCTGTTGCTCGAAGGCCACTCGATCGGTATCGGCGACACCATTGCCGATCCGCAAACTTATTTGGAGATCCAGAAGGCAATCAAGAAGGCGAAGGAGGACGTGATAGAGGTGATTCAAAAGGCACACAATATGGAATTGGAACCTACTCCTGGTAACACGCTGCGTCAGACTTTCGAGAACCAGGTGAACAGAATACTGAACGACGCTCGTGACAAGACCGGAGGCTCCGCCAAGAAATCTTTGACCGAATACAACAATCTGAAAGCTATGGTGGTGTCGGGTTCGAAGGGTTCAAATATTAATATCTCTCAGGTTATCGCTTGTGTGGGTCAACAGAACGTTGAAGGTAAACGTATACCGTTCGGCTTCCGTAAGCGGACACTGCCGCACTTCATCAAGGATGATTATGGTCCTGAGTCGCGCGGCTTCGTCGAGAATTCATATCTTGCTGGTCTCACGCCGTCCGAGTTTTACTTTCACGCGATGGGCGGTCGTGAAGGTCTCATTGATACTGCCGTGAAGACTGCCGAAACTGGTTATATCCAACGTCGTCTAATAAAGGCTATGGAGTCGGTGATGGTACATTATGATGGCACCGTGAGGAACTCTGTAGGTCAACTGATTCAGCTACGTTACGGCGAGGACGGTCTCTGTGGTGAGACTGTCGAGTTCCAGAACTTGCCTACTATCAAAGTGAGCAACAAGGCGTTCGAAAAGAAGTTCAAATTTGATCCGACCAACGAGCGATACTTGCGGCGCATATTCAACGAGGATATCGTCCGAGAGATGATGGGCTCCGGCGAGGTGATCTCCGAACTGGAGAGAGAGTGGGAGCAGTTGAATCGGGATCGCACTGTGCTCCGTGAGATCTTCCCGAGCGGAGAATCCAAAGTGGTGTTGCCCTGTAATCTGCAGAGAATGATTTGGAACGTACAGAAGATATTCCATATCAATAAGAGAGCGCCAACAGATCTCAGCCCAATGAGAGTGATTCAAGGTATGTATTTGTTTATCTAGCAAAATAATTTGAAAAGTTTTGCGAAAATATTGCAAGTTCAGTCATGTGTTCAATAATTTTTACATTGTCTGCAATTAAGCGCAAACTTCCTTCCATATTATGTATAATCATGATCTCATTGTTAAACAGACTTATTTTTCTATAGTGCGTATGATAATTGATTATCCTTTAACTCACATAATACGACATATTGTAACTTTGCGTTTGTTATTTTGTTTCTAGGCGTGAAGGATCTTTTAGATAAATGTATCATTGTCGCTGGGGACGATAGACTCAGCAAACAAGCGAACGAGAATGCAACGTTATTGTTCCGGTGTCTCGTGAGATCAACCCTGTGTACAAAATGCGTCTCTGAAGAATTTAGACTATCCGGCGAAGCCTTTGAGTGGTTAATTGGTGAGATTGAAACGCGATTCCAACAGGCTCAGGTTAGTAATCCACAACTGCATAAGATGATTTTATGTAACGCTTTAGCGTTCATAAATTAGAAAGTTTTGTTAACTAGATTGCAACAACTACGTTTATATTAATTAGCATATATTTAGAATGCTATATAACTTATTACATGTATATATATGTACACTGATTAATATATATTATTTTTTTATGTTACTTAATGCTTTAATGATTTGATTCGACATTATTAAATCTTTATCGATATATAAATTTTTTTGTATTCAAATCTATAACTCTATTTCGGTAGCATGAACAACACTTGTTGCTCTTTGTTGCCTAATAAAAAAATAAAATTTCAGGTATCACCGGGTGAAATGGTCGGTGCTTTGGCAGCGCAATCACTCGGCGAACCTGCCACACAGATGACTCTGAACACTTTCCACTTCGCCGGCGTGTCGTCGAAGAACGTTACTCTTGGTGTTCCGAGGCTGAAAGAAATTATTAACATCAGTAAGAAACCAAAAGCGCCATCGTTGACGGTCTTCTTAACAGGCGCGGCAGCACGCGACGCTGAGAAGGCGAAGAACGTACTTTGTCGGCTGGAACACACGACTCTGAAGAAGGTGACGGCCAACACCGCAATTTACTACGATCCGGATCCACAGAATACAGTGATCGCGGAGGACCAGGAGTTTGTTAACGTATATTACGAGATGCCGGACTTCGATCCTACGAAGATATCGCCATGGCTATTGCGTATCGAGCTGGACAGGAAACGCATGACCGACAAAAAATTAACTATGGAGCAAATTGCTGAAAAGATCAACGCCGGGTTCGGCGATGACCTCAATTGCATATTTAACGATGACAATGCCGAGAAGCTGGTTTTACGTATCAGAATAATGAATAGTGACGACAACAAGTTCCAGGAAACGGATGAAGAACCAATGGACAAGATGGAGGACGATATGTTCCTTCGTTGTATCGAGGCTAACATGCTTAGCGACATGACTCTACAGGTATAGACTGAATGCAACATGCTAAATTTAAACGTCTCACATGTTTTACATTTATTTAATTCCTAATTTTTTCTTCTCTAACTTTTTCTTTCTGATATAATCTTTTATTTCTAAAATATTTTCCAAGGAATTCGCGAATATAAATGGAGCTAAAATTGAGCCAAACATCTCATTTCAGGGTATCGAAGCTATTGGAAAAGTATATATGCATTTACCGCAAACAGATGCTAAGAAGCGCATCGTTATCACTGAAACTGGAGAGTTTAAAGCAATCGCGGAATGGCTCTTGGAAACAGACGGGACAAGTTTGATGAAAGTGCTCAGCGAACGTGACGTTGATCCTGTGCGAACATTCAGCAATGATATCTGCGAGATTTTCCAAGTACTCGGCATCGAGGCTGTTCGTAAATCAGTAGAAAAGGAGATGAACGCTGTATTGCAATTCTATGGTCTCTATGTGAATTATCGTCATCTTGCTTTACTTTGCGACGTCATGACAGCAAAGGGTCATCTTATGGCTATCACTCGTCACGGAATCAATAGGCAAGACACGGGTGCTCTTATGAGGTCAGTAAACTAATTTGGTCTTTCACCGAGATATTTTTATTTATCGAGTTAGTAATTTATTTCACTTGTAAATGATTTTTTCCAGTTTCCGTAATTTTCACAAAGATCATTAACTTCTTTTTAGGATATTTTATTAAAATATGATGAAAATATTTAACGAATTATTCTTTGTTGAAAGAGAAAAAATATTTTCCAAATTACAAATTATATAAATTACAATTAAAAATTTACGATTTTTTTACATTCTTCTGTTACTTCATAAATTTTAGTGTCATTTAATTCTTATTTAATAAATAAGCTGAATCGTTTCAGATGTTCTTTCGAAGAAACAGTCGATGTCTTATTGGATGCCGCTTCTCACGCAGAAGTTGATCCAATGCGAGGAGTATCTGAGAACATTATAATGGGTCAACTTCCACGCATTGGGACAGGTAACGCATCTATCGTTTTTTTCTGAGATATTCATCCAAATGAGTGAAATTGTATCTTGATTTTAGTACGCGAATTTTTTACACTAAAAACATTTTATGTATGAATATTTCAAAGTCAAGCAACGTGCATAGAATAACGTATTATGCTTATAATCACAATGTAAATTTTAAGATAATAATTCGTCAGTTAATAATAATGTTAACACAACATTGCCTTCCTATGTGTATTCAGGTTGTTTTGACTTACTGCTGGACGCTGAGAAATGCAAAGCTGGTATCGAAATCCCTATAGCTGTTGGCGCGGGCGTGATGGGATCGGCTGGAATGTTCTTCGGCAGTGTTCCTGGCATATCCAGCATGAGTCCTCAAATGACACCGTGGATGGGAGCTACTCCTGGTTATGGCGCTTCGAGCATGTCACCGGGTAAGTCTCTCATATTAATGCCAATTTCTTTTATTTTGCAAAAAAAATTTTTAATAAAAACATGCGTGTTATATATAAGAATGTTATTAAATGTTTTACTTCTTTTTTTTTTTTATAGCAATGAGTAGCGGCATGACGCCCGGAGGTGCATGCTTCTCACCGTCGGGTGCTTCAGACGCATCGGGCATGTCTCCAGCGTACTCTGCCTATTCGCCACAACCAGGAAGCCCTGGTAGTCCAGGTCCAAGCATGAGCCCATTCCCGATGTCGCCGGCTGGCGCCGCTTCGCCCAGTTATTCGCCCACTTCACCCGCGTATCTACCTACGTCGCCCAGCATGACACCGTCGAGTCCGAACTACTCGCCCACGAGTCCAACGTACTCGCCAACGAGTCCCAACTATTCGCCGACGTCCCCGAGTTACTCGCCAACGTCGCCTAGTTATTCACCTACGTCACCTAGCTATTCGCCTACTTCGCCTAGTTACTCGCCGACATCACCCAGTTACTCTCCTACGTCTCCCAGCTATTCGCCAACATCACCGAGTTACTCGCCAACCAGCCCGAGTTACTCACCCACATCGCCGAGTTATTCGCCAACATCGCCCAGTTACTCGCCTACATCGCCAAGTTATTCACCCACGTCACCGAGCTACTCACCTACTAGCCCAAGTTATTCACCGACGTCACCGAGCTATTCGCCAACGTCACCCAGCTATTCGCCCACGTCACCCAGCTATTCACCCAGCTCGCCAAATTATACGCCCGCTTCGCCGAGTTATTCGCCGACCTCGCCGAGCTATTCACCCAGCTCGCCGCAGTATTCACCCGCCAGCCCCAGCTATTCACCCAGCAGTCCCAAGTACTCGCCCACTTCGCCGAGCTATTCACCCACTTCGCCGTCCTTCGCTGGAACGTCGCCGCAGTACACACCCGCGAGTCCCACGTACTCGCCTACTAGTCCGACGTATTCACCGACTAGTCCGTCGTATTCGCCCAGCTCGCCGCAACATACAGCGTCTGGTAGCACCAGGTATTCGCCGAGCAGCCCAAACTATTCACCGACGAGCCCGACCTACTCGCCCACAAGCCCGCAGTACTCGCCGTCAAGCACCAAATATTCGCCCACATCTCCTACTTATACACCAACGAGTCCAAGTTATTCGCCAACGAGTCCAACATATTCGCCCCCGGTGCCGGGATATTCGCCCACGAGTCCTACGTATTCGCCTGCATCCCCCGCGTACGAAGCAGACGATTAATGTTAATTACAATCGTAACAACATTAGAATTTTTAAAGTTTGAAAAAAAAATATATGTTTATGAATTTCCAGAGGTTTATTTTGTGGAAATACCTGATATTGTAATTTTACAAAATAGGAAAGAGATTTGTATGAAGAGTACGAAAGAGGAAAGACTTGCATAAATCTTTCCTATTTCGTACTATGAACAATGTAACAAAGATCAAAGAATTTGATTTTTCGTTTAACATGAAAATGTGGTGCCACAAGGAGCCTTAACGTCCGCGTCCATCAATTGGAAGAGGGATTCACGTCATATACCTCTCTATGAGGTGCCACTAAAATATTATACACTGAGATATTTCCATAAATATCATAGAAAATAGAGATCGCATAAAAAATTTTTTCAAATAAAAGTTTGTTTTTTCACGTAGAATAAAATTCCGTAAAAAAAATATATGTTTCTATTTAAAAAAAGCAAAGTTGACCTTGACCTGACCTTAGCGGCGCCAACCAAGATCAAACCATGGTACCTTCTTATGTCCTTCATTGAACCATATAACTTTTGTTTAAAACATTTTTCTGTATTTTTTGTATATTTTGAGATATTTTAGTGTGAAAGTTAAAATGGGATACCCTATATACTATCTGAAACGCGCATTGCCTCTTGAAGGCTGCGGAATGAGAGAGAGGTTTCTGTTTCCTCTATTATCTTTGCCTGATTCATAATATAGTCGAGAGTGGGGAGAATGTGATACAATCCCAGTTAAAAGTTAGAGATAATATGAAAAGCAGTGACCATTGAATAGCAATGACTTAAGCTTATGAACGAATGTTTAAGATACAAAAAAATTTATATTTTTTCTCATTTATTAGTATTCACTTATCGACTTATTATTAAGAAAAACAAAGCAAAGATGGTTCCTAATTCGGAGATTCACATGGACGTAGGAATATCTGGACGGAACGTAAAGTATTTTTATTGGCGCGAGGTGTGAAATCAGCGCGATGAGGGGAAATCTTCGTCGCGGCCATCTTTGGTGATCAAAAGTGACATATCCAGTGCTGAGATTCTGTAACTCGTTATTGGAGTTAACGAAACTGTCGTTAACTCCAATAACGAGTAAGGCTGATATTTCATGTGTCGTACAAGTTTTTTGGATACGTTTATTGGTTAACGAACAGAGAATCTAGAAATACTCTATTCGCCAACTAATAAACTTACCCGAAAAGCTTTTCGTACGACACGTGAAATAGCATCCTTACAGAATCCCAGCACTGGGGTACTATTCCGTTCCCGACAGCTGTCGAATCGGTACGCGTCGTTACGCAGCTTCTTTATACCGTGGAAAAACTGCGCAACGACGCCTACCGATCCGACAACTGTCGGTATGCGAAAACGGAATAGTATCCTAGATAGCAAGATGATGCTTTAAACGTCACCTTCATATATATATATATATATATATATATATATATACCAGGTGTAGAAGTATGAAACCGGAATTTTTTTATACAAATAAGACGTCTGTTGTTCGAAAGTGATAAATAATACTTTATTCAAAATAATTTCCACTGTTTTGAACACATTTTTCCCACCTCTCTGGCAGTTTATGAATGCCGTGCCAAAAAAACTTTTCATCTTTTGAAGCGAACCAGTTATCTAGCCATTTTTCCACATTTTCATACGAATCGAAGCGTTGGTTAGCGAGAGCGTGTCCTAGCGATGCGAACAGGTGATAATCGGACGGAGCCAAGTCTGGAGAATAAGCCGCATGCGGTAGTAATTCCCAACTGAACGACTCGATCGTTTCCTTGACCCGTTTTGCTGTATGTGATGGGGCATTATCATGGAGCAAAATGACATTGTGTTGCCTTTTTGCATATTCTGGTCGTTTTTTAGTCAATGTTCGATTTAAATCGATCATTTGTTGTTGGTAGCGATTAGTATTGACGGTTTGACCAGGTTTCAGCAGTTCATAGTTCATAGTTCATAGTTCATAGTTCTTCGTTCCTCACGTCAAAATCACCACTTTTGAATTTTTTAAACCACTCGAAACACTGAGATTTACCAAGAGCATATTCACCGTAAGCTTCGACAAGCATTCGATGTGATTCTGCAGCAGTTTTCTTTAAATGATAACAGAAAATCAATGCTGTCCGCAAATCATAGTTAGTAGGCTCGAAACGTGACATGTTTAAGGTTATACAAAAATATACTAGAGAATGAAAGTTGGGGTTATGTTTGTTGACAATATTCGTCAGCTGTTAGGAGAATATAATAGCGCGGCAGTAGCGGTCTTACGGTCACTAAACTGAACGCTGGCACCATTTATAGGGGAATTCCGGTTTCATACTTCTACACCTGGTATATATATATATATATATATAATATTTAACATGTGTATACATAGATCGAGGATTTTAACCTTTGTGATGAAAGGTTGTTATGGATAGGACTATATATTTCGTAGTAGATGCCGGATTATTACGCGAAACATTGTAAAAGCTGGAGAACCGAGAAACCGGAATAATAAAATACAACTAGAATGGGAACGTAAAAATGGTAAAAGACTATCATTTCACAGATATGTTTTAATATAACAGACAGTTGCAATCAGGGTAAAACTTTATATTCACATACACTCATACACACGTATTCATTTTGTACATTTTCAAATCACTATACTAAGATAATCATTGTGTTCAGTGATATCAAGTGAGAAATGATTTACCGATAGACGTCGAAAAGACGTCGATTTAACGATTTCGACGTCTATCGGTAAGTTATTTCTCACTGGGTATAGGCCGCCGCCATATTTGATGATCATTTCTAACTTTCATTCCTTTCTCCCCTGTGACTTCACTCTCCGCGAAATACGCTTCGTCCAGAGGTCTGTTCTTTGTAGCTGCACTGCTGAATTGGTGCAATATATTGAAGTGAGACAAATATATGTTTTCTCACTCTAACTTATTGCACTAGTTCAGTAGTGCAGCTATAAAGAACAGGCCTCTAATATTTCTACGTCCATGGAGATTCAACTTATGTTTAGAAATTAGCCGACTTAGTTTTTGGTTCAGACTGTACTAGACAAAGACAGAGCGCTGTTCTAGCTAGAGATGCCCGATTTAATCGATTCGATTCTTTCCCTAACAAATTTAGGGAAAAAGGGTTGTTCGTGCTGCTTGCATGTTTCATACTTTTCACTTTTAAAAAGAAATGGACACCTAATCAGACGCTTAGAAGAAACAATCGAGTAGGTTGTTTCGTTTTTGCTTCTTTGAAACATTCCAATATACTTCTGTTTAGTTTTATATACAAAAAATGCAAAGAGTGCAAACAACACGAATAAGCCTATTTTTGGGGAAAGAATCGAATCGATTCGGAATCGGGCATCTCTAGTTCTAGCCTACAAGCATGCTCTCTCATCCTGCAATACTCAAGTAGAGACCCTTGAGTAGAAACTGGACATAACGGGCCTCCGCGTAATTGATGCACGTGACTTTTGTCCACCAAATGATAACGCCAATATAATGGCTCCTGCACACAGAACGCGGTAATGCTTGCCGCGCGGCGGAAGTTCGCACGACAGCTAATCAATATATTGTTTTTCCGTAAGAGCTAGAAGGTTATTACGGAAAGTAGCATATTGATTGGCTGTCGCGCGAATTTCTGCCGCGCGAACTTACGCCGCGCGGCAAGTATTAAGGGACGTCTACATTGGAAGTAAGAAGTAGGAAGTAAGAATAAAAAATTGACCAATCATAGTTGATTATTCTTCTCACATTCGACTGTGGTTGGTCAATTTCTTACTCTTACTTCCTACTTCTTGCTATTTACGTCCAACGTAGACGTCCCTTTAAGCTGGTGGCACATAGAAAAACTTAAGCAGTAAGATGTAAGCAGTAAGCAAATCAGTCAATCACAGTTGATTCTTGGACCATAAGAAGAATCAACGATTGTGATTGGTCAATTTGCTTACTGCTTACGTCTTACTGCTTAAGTTTTTCTGTGTGCCACGGCCCTTACCGCGTCTGTGTGCAGGAGCCAATAGAGTTCTTTGCTGGAAAACGACCATTGGCTGCGTTCAGCAGGAAAGTTACTTTGCAACTGTGTAAAATTCGTGAATCTGATTGGCTGCGTTTAGAAAACATAGCTCAGTGAGCGATCAGTGATTATTGGTTCTTACTGTTAGATCTCTAACTTTAGACCAATTACGTTGACTAATTACTCAACCGTTGTGTAACCGTTGTGTCTCCTGAACGCTCCCATTGGTACATGCTCTTGGATTCAACTAAAATTAAGAGCGTACTCCAATCAGATTCACAAATTTTACAACAGTTGCAAAGCAGCTTCTCTGCTGAACGCAGCCAATAATCGCTGATTGCTCACTGAGCGCTTTTTCCGCTGAACGCGCCCATTATTACAATTCTTGATGCGTGTCTTTTAACGTTTTATGTTCAGTGCATCAGTTGTACATGCGTTCTCGCAGTCATTGTTAGTTGATTTCTGTTTGTTTTTCTGATAGTTTGTCGTTCTATCCATTTATATAAACGAAATATCAAAACCTGTATCTCTGTGGTATCAGGAATAATTGGTAAGAATTAAGCTTGATACCTTTTCTATAAATCGTGATAACGAATATGTCCACATGCGAAAACAGCGCATTACGTTGATTTTTAATTGAATCACGGAACTACTGTACACTTAAAACAACGTATCTTAAGCCTACAGCAAATACGGTGCGTGTTTTGCTGCTAGTTTAGCTAATAGAAAAAATGGGAGACTCCGAAGAAGAAAATGAGAAAGATTTTGCGTCTGGCCTTAATATCACCGGCTTTCTTTTCGGCAACATCGATGATAACGGTCAGCTGGAGAATGATATTCTGGATCCTGAAGCCAAACAACAATTGGCTTCACTCAGTCGTTTTGGATTAAGCTCCTTTATCAGTGAAATGATACAGAATGAATCAGCTGCTGAAGAGAAAGAAGATAACGAAGGAGGATATAAAAGCAAAGATCAAAACAAAATTGACAACAATAAGGATATGGATTGTATTGCAAAGTTACCTACTGCAGAAGATTTCTCTGATATAAATGAGTTAGCAGATGATATCAGTGATGAAGCTTGTTAGTATATTGACATGACCATAACTTATTATATTTACATATACTTATTATATATTTGTGTGTATATATACTACATATAAGTTTTATATATTATTTATCCTAAAAATATATAATGATTATATAATTGTAACTTCAAAATGAAAACAAAAAATGTCAAGTTTAAAACATCCATCGTCTGGATATACAGCTTGTAATTCTTATGGAATAGCTGATATATTAATTTATATAATAACTGATATATTGATATATATTACATATATAATAGTATATTTTATGTAATAAAATATTTTTGTGTATTGCATATATATTTTGTATGATTTTTTTTTAGCTAAAAACAATGATTTTGACAAGAAAGCAGACAAAGAAAATGCTGATTATGATGCTGATGATGAGGAAGTTGTCAGCAAGTCAGATAAGCAATTAATGCCTCCTCCACCTGTACCTGAGGAAAAGGAGATTTTAACTGAGGAGGAGGCGGAAGCAGTGCGTCAGCGTAAACTAGAGACACCTCTTGCAGCTATGTTGCCTTCTAAATATGTCAATACCGATGTCACTGAACTGTTCCCAGATTTTCGCACGAACAAAGTTCTCAGATTCTCGAGATTGTTTGGTCCAGGTAAACCAAGTAGTCTGCCACAGATTTGGAGAAGTGTGAGAAAGCGACGTAAGAAAAGAAAACATGATATCAGAGACTCCGATTCTGGCTCTGATCAAGAGGATAGGAAAGCTAAATTTAGAGTGAGTATGAAATATATAGTATATTAAAAAAGTCTTTCAAACAGCACATTGATAATGCTCCATTGTGATGTTTCAGGGCTGGATTATGCACTATGGTCCTGAGCCGAATACAGACATGTGCCGTTCAGATGACGAGACTAAATTGCTTTTGCCAGTGGAAGATAAGGAGCAGAATGGTAAGACAGGCGAGACGGGGGAAAATGGCGACATGGGACCTAAAGTAGCTGACTGGAGGTTTGGGCCTGCACAGCTTTGGTATGACATGTTGGAAGTTCCAGAGACTGGAGACGGCTTCAACTATGGTTTTAAAACGTCTGAAAAAGTATGTATATTGTTTTCGTGCTTTATTTTTATATATATTGTTCTTATACATTGCTATTTCTCATATATTGGAACGTTCTTGTGCGACTTGCATATCTGTACATTCTAGTATTTTCAATCGTGTCTAATTTGTACTAGGAGCAACTAGAGGAGCAAGAAAACAAGTCTAAGGACAAATCTAAAGATGAAGAAAATAATAAGGATGAGGAATTCGCTGATGACGCATTCTTAATGGTGTCGCAGTTGCACTGGGAAGACGATGTTGTCTGGAACGGAGACGATATAAAGCATAAGGTAATTTTATGACGAACGATTATGTTATTATTACTGACATTTGACGTAAAGAACAAAAATAAATTTTTCTCCTTGTCTCACGCAGGTAATGCAGAAGTTGAATAGCAAAAACAACGCAGCCGGTTGGGTACCCTCGAGCGGCAACAGAACCGCGCAAGCTTTCAGTCAACCAGGAAAAGGTGCTCCCGTCAATGTAGCACCTAACGTCAGGCTAGCTACTTCACAAATCACAACGCCGCTCCATATGCAGTCGCAAAAGAGCAAAATGTACGAAAACTAAACGTTTCTCATTGAATGCTCAATGAGTAAATTTAAATTTTATCTTTATTCGAACAAATTAATTGTAAATTAGGAATTATTGATGTCTTCAATAATAACATGATTTTCGTGCCTTACAGGAATATGGGCAAAGGTAATCAACAGCAACAGCGTGACGAGAATTACGACGACACCTGGTATTCAATATTTCCGGTGGAAAACGAGGAGCTGGTTTACGGTTTGTGGGAGGAGGAAGTGATCTGGGATCCAGAAAATATGAGAAAAATCCCCAAACCAAAGATACTCACTTTGGATCCGAACGACGAGAACATTGTATTGGGCATACCGGACGATATTGACCCGGCTCTCCTCCACAAGGACAACGGACCGCAGCCGAAAGTAAAGATTCCGCATCCTCACGTCAAGAAGAGCAAATTATTGTTGGGTAAAGCAGGTGTCATTAACGTTCTAGAGGAAGATACACCTCCTCCACCACCGAAATCCCCTGATAGGGATCCGTTCAACATATCAAACGACACGTAAGTCTCATTTCTCTTAAGGGACGTCTACATTGGAAGTAAGCAGTAAGAAGTAGGAAGTAAGAATAAGAAATTGACCAATCATAGTTGATTATTCTTCTCACATTCGACTGTGGTTGGTCAATTTCTTACTCTTACTTCCTACTTCTTGCTATTTACTTCCAATGTAGACGTCCCTTTACACTTTTTTTCTTTTTCGTATATTAGAAGCGCGTCAGAAATTAATTGCTCATAAAAAATTTTCCAACGCATCCACGTAATATTTCTTTCTCCTTTTTCTTTTTCACTTTAGATACTACATGCCCAGATCTTCGGAAACTACGTTACGTCTAAAGGTCGGCGGCGGCAATTTGATACAGCATAGCACTCCGGTGGTAGAGTTGCGTGTTCCTTTCGTGCAAACACATATGGGTCCAATGCGACTGAGGAACTTTCACAGGCCGCCGTTGCGAAGGTTTAGTCATGGTCCATTGGCTCATCCAGGACCGCATTGCGTTTTGCCTCTGCTAAAACACATAAAAAAGAAAGCTAAGGTATTTATTATGAAAAAGATAACTTATAAGAAGAAAGATCGCAAAATTCGAATGTATAATTTTTGTACGTTTTTAGCAACGGGAACAAGAGAGAATTTCTTCCGGCGGAGGTGATGTGTTTTTCATGAGAACACCTGAAGATTTAACGGGTCGGGACGGCGAGCTAGTTCTCATTGAATTTTCCGAGGAACATCCTCCGCTCATGAATCAAGTCGGTATGTGTTCAAAAGTGAAAAACTATTACAAAAGGCGGGCCGGTAAGGATCAAGGTCCGCAGACGTACAAGTATGGGGAAACAGCGTATGCTCATACTAGTCCGTTCCTCGGCATCCTCACTCCTGGTCAAAGCATTCAAGCGGTCGAAAATAACATGTACAGAGCACCTATTTATGAACACAAGATCCCTGATACCGATTTCTTGGTTATAAGGACAAGGTGTGTACGATTTAATAATTATTTCTCTTATAATTAAGAACACACACAGAGCACTACACGAAGTGCGTTTACATACTTGTATTAACGAATTGACTCTAATTAACTTTTGCATTTTTGTATTTTTTATTCTATATTAATTAAAATAAAGTAAACATTAACATATTTAGCTTTTCTTTCTTTAATCACATTACATGTTTCTTTTTATTTTTCTGTATATTATATATATTTCTATTAATTTTAATATTGTTGCAGGCAACAATATTACATCAGAGAAGTGGACGCACTATTTGTTGCCGGACAAGAGTGCCCGTTATATGAAGTGCCAGGACCCAACTCGAAGAGAGCAAATAATTTTGTGCGCGACTTCTTGCAGGTGTTTATTTACAGATTGTTTTGGAAGTCACGCGACATCCCTCGGCGGATTAAGATGGACGACATAAAGAAAGCCTTTCCGTCCCATAGCGAGAGCAGCATTAGAAAAAGATTAAAGCTATGTGCGGACTTCAAAAGAACTGGTACGTAATTACTTCTGGATTGTCTATTTTTTTTTTGTTTACAATGATAGGGCACTTATATGTAGCGAGATGCGCTCGTAAAGATCGACGTCATTAATCCAGGAATTGTCTGTGCGTAACAGGAATGGACTCCAACTGGTGGGTGATAAAACCGGACTTTAGGTTACCAACGGAAGAGGAGATTCGCGCTATGGTGTCACCGGAGCAGTGTTGCGCTTATTTCAGCATGATTGCAGCAGAACAACGATTGAAGGACGCTGGATATGGTGAGAAGTTCCTCTTCACGCCCCAGGACGACGACGATGAGGAGATGCAACTCAAAATGGATGACGAAGTAAAAGTAGCACCGTGGAATACGACGCGTGCGTATATTCAGGCCATGAAAGGAAAGTGCCTACTCCAATTGGCGGGTCCGGCCGATCCAACAGGCTGCGGTGAAGGCTTCTCCTACGTTAGGGTGCCGAATAAGCCTACCATCAGCAAGGTTTGTTTAACTTAGATTCAAAGAAACATGTTACGTTTTTATGCGAGGAGAAGTCACATTTTTATAAAAGTAAAAAAATTAGCATATCCTATCAATAATTTATATGTGGAAGAAAAAATCTCTTACTACGATGTAGTTAGGTGTAGTTAAACTATATTATCGCCCTGTTCCAAACACACAGGAAGAACAAGAAGCTCAACCGAAGAGAACCGTGACGGGCACAGACGCAGACTTAAGAAGATTATCTTTAAACAACGCGAAAGCATTATTGCGTAAGTTCGGTGTACCCGAAGACGAAATAAAGAAGCTGTCACGTTGGGAGGTAATCGACGTAGTGCGAACTTTGTCGACGGAGAAAGCAAAAGCCGGCGAAGAAGGCATGACCAAATTCTCGCGTGGTAACCGTTTCTCTATTGCCGAACATCAGGAGCGGTACAAAGAGGAATGCCAGCGTATTTTCGACCTACAGAACCGTGTGTTATCATCGAACGAAGTCTTGAGTACAGACGAGGGTGAAAGTTCTGAAGAGGATAGTTCAGACATCGAAGAGATGGGTAAAAATATCGAGAATATGTTATCGAACAAGAAGACCAGCACGCAGCTGTCATTGGAGAGAGAGGAGCAACAACGACACGAACTACGTAAGATGCTGATGGGCGAGGCACAAGAGCAAGAGAAGAAAGGCAAGGAGAGCAAAAAGAAGGACGACGAGGAGGATAGTCCGATTAATAACTTCAATGCGCAACAAGGTCGTGTATTAAAAATCTACCGTACTTTCCGCAACCCGGAGGGCAAGGAGTTCACTCGGGTCGAGCTAGTGAGAAAGCCCGCTGTGATCGACACGTATATTAAGATTCGTAACTCGAAGGACGAAACGTTTATCAAGCAATTCGCCACATTGGACGACGCTCAAAAAGAGGAAATGAAGCGAGAAAAACGTAGAATACAGGAGCAATTGCGTCGGATCAAGCGAAATCAAGAGAGAGAGCGTATGTTGGGCGGCCCAATTATGAGCAGCGGCAGCGGTGGCGTCGGCGGCATCGGCGGTGCCAGCGGTAGCAGCTCGAGCAGCGTCTTCGATCGTAATAGTTCCAATATTCCATCTATCCCCACTTCATCGACCAGTATCCTTCCATTCTGTAACTTCCAGTCCTCCAACTCTACATCTTCCAAACATCCCAAACCGGAGGCGTCTCCTCCCAAACGTAAGAAACCTAAACTCAAACCAGATCTCAAACTTAAGTGTGGTGCCTGTGGCAACGTCGGCCACATGCGCACCAACAAGGCTTGTCCTCTTTATCAGAATAGCATCACCAACACTGCACCGGTGAATGTCGCCATGACTGAGGAACAGGAGGAGGAAATCGAGAAGCAGTTGAACACCGATGATCAGGATTTGGTTAACGTCGATGGTACCAAGGTGAAATTATCATCGAAACTGATTAAGGTAAGCAAGTTTAGATTTCAATTCTAAAAACGTGAAATCGTATATTAATCAGAGCAATTTAAACGATTCGAAAGGACATTTTAGAGATTGCGAATGTTTGACTTGTTTCAGCACGCTGAGGAGATGAAGAGACGCACCTTGCTGCTCAAAGTGCCTAAAGATGCAGTGAACTCGAAGAAACGTAGGAAACCTCCCACCGATGATCATTGTGATTATTTAAAACGCCATCAGAGGCCAGCTAATAGACGCAGAACGGATCCTGTTGTAGTGATGTCAACAATATTGGAGAGTATCTTAAACGAAATGAGAGATTTGCCGGACGTGCAGCCATTTTTGTTCCCGGTGAACGCTAAGGTAAATATTACTTCAAGTTACTGATACACCATTTAATTGTACAAGAACAAATCTATGATAATATCATCTGTAAAATTAGCATTTATGTATATAACTATAGGATTATCGAATTTTTAATTATTTAAGTTTAGAAGAATTTTGTAACTTTTAATTTGTATTTTAACATATTAAACAGAGTGTTTACAGACAATTATTAATTACTTGTAATTTGTCACTATAGGCTGTTCCTGATTACTACAAGATTATACAACGACCTATGGATCTACAGACCATACGAGAGAATTTGCGATTGAAGAAATATCAGAGTAGAGAGGAGTTCCTAGCGGATGTTAATCAGATTGTTGAAAATTCTAAGCTTTATAATGGAACAAAGAGTTCGTTTACTGTAGCTGCTACAAGGATGCTGGACATGTGTGGTGCAAGGCTCTTTGAGAAAGATGAACGTTTAATGAGGTTGGAGAAGGCCATCAATCCTCTTTTGGATGACGACGATCAGGTTGCCCTCACGTACATTTTGGATACTATAGTCAACGGCAAACTAAAATCCATGACGGAAGTGTGGCCGTTCATGAAACCCGTCAACAAAAAGATGGTGAAGGATTATTACAATATTGTCAAGAGACCGATGGATTTAGAAACGATATCTAAAAAAGTCTCTGGTAAAGAACTTAGATGTATTTTTTCGAAACGTGTACATATAAATTTACAATTTAAGAATCACATGTTTGTAACTTACTTTCTTAAGATATCTTGTAACTTGTATTCTTAAAATTAATGTCTTTTTAAAACATTTCTTCAGCACACAAATATCACAGTCGCCACGAATTCCTCAGAGATATCGAGCAGATTTTGGAGAATTGCACGCTTTACAATGGGAAGGATTCTCCGTTCACGCATAAAGCGGAATTGCTGGTCAAAGTGTGTAAAGAGACGCTAGAAGAGGTATGGATATCTTCATCCATCGATTTAGAATACATAAGAATCGTAAAGAATAAATAGTAATATTGAGATCAGAAATTATCTGGAGCAAGAAATTGCAGAAAATAATTGATTTACTTCATTTCAGTACCATGAACATTTATTGCAATTGGAAAACAATATATTACTTGTGCAAAAGCGAGCGATGGAGCAAGCGGATATAGATCCCTCATGGCTTGGTCCGGACGACATAGGAGAATCCAGAGACGTAATAATCATACTTATTCTCCTTATTGCATTATATATTTTACATTTATAATTTTTATATCTAATTTGCCATTGAAACTTGTTTTCAGAGTCTGACCAATTCAAATCCATTCGACAAATCACATATGGATGAATTCGATTTTGTAGACGTGGATGGCGATATAGAAGCGGATGTTGACAGAGTATCGAAGAAAAAAGATATGCTTGAAGAAGGTAAAATAAAATAGTGTAGTCTTAACTTGATTTTGTAGCCGCTATGCAGATTATTTAACATTTTTCTTCTACCGCAGATCTGCAATTCTCCAGTGAAGACGAATTCGATGAAGTACCGTTCGGCGCAGATGAACATTCCGAGCACAACGAAATGGAGACGCTGGAGTTAAGCGAGGTCAGGGAAGGAGTTGTACTGGCGGATGACGATAGTCAACAAGCTGCCGAAGCGATGGTTCAGTTAGGTAATGTCGGCTTTTACATGGGCGAACAGCAATTGCTCCAACAAGGTAAGCAAAAAACATTGCTTTTATTAATAAGTAGAGTTCTATGTTGTTAAAGTTTTATTTTTTTATTTTTTTAATAGTAATTTGGTAATAAATTTTGTAATTTGAAAACTTTCAAAGAGTTATGTTTAAAAAAATTGAAAAGCCTTACTTAAAATAATTTAAATACAAATTGACATGGAAATCTTTTTAATTTGTTGAATTATTTTAAATCGTGTTTGCGATTGGATCGATGATTGTAAATTATATATTATTCATAATTTTTCACTTGCAGACGAGAGCATGGACGTCGATCCCAATTACGACCCGTCAGACTTTCTGTTGGCTGGTTTGCCAGCCAGAGAGGATAAGAGCGAAAATAAGATTCAGGACGATCTGGCTGTTTCTGAGAGCGACGATGACGCCGAAAGTAGTAACAATTTGCAGTCCAAGCAAGAAGCTCAGCAGAATCAACAACAGCAACAAATGTCGCAACCGGACGAGGATGTCGCTGGCGATTTGTGGTTTTAAAAGCACATTTGATTATTTTATTAAAGTTATATAAGAACATCCGTTTTTCTTTTGACATCGAGTATGCTTTTAAAGGAATTATGAGTAGATAAACTTGTTTACAAGTTGACGAGGAGTTATAAGGTTAATTCTTTGTATATTATGTACATACTACATACGCATATAGTGATATGTAAATATAGAATAAAATATATAGTATCTTTTCTAGCTCGGCGGGCAATTTTGCGCAACCACGTAATGTGCACGCTTATGTTAATGCAATATATTTACGTAAAAAATTACATTTATATGTTATAAACAACATATCGTATAACACATACAAATATGCTTAAAATTGATTATTTAACGCGTTAGTATGTTAAAGATAATCGTTGAGTTAAAACAATGTTATTTATGATATATAGCTAATAGAAGATAAACATGAATATTTTAACACAATGAAAGTTACAATTTTCATGTCTCTACTGTGATCTAATATTAAAAAAAATTGAAAGTTAATAACCTATCTAAAGATCTTTAATATTTTATCTTATCATTGTTCCGCATATTTTCATATCACTCTCTTGTACATTGCATTTCTTTTTCACATACTGTTAGTACTATAATTACTCTCATTCTTGACACTTCATTTCATTTTATAGTTTCTTCGGCTTCTACGACATTACATCTCAAATTATCTTAGCAGCTTTGTGTCACTATCTTATTGTCAATGATCACCTACGAGGAACTCGCGCGAAGAATCTCCGAAGTTTCCGAGAGTCTCTTGTCTGTTTTCTCGCCGACGACTTCGCAACAGGATAAAATCTTGGATAAGATCACGAAGATCGTCCGAGATGCGACAAAGGAACAACTGCTGTCACACGATCCGCATGTACTCATCACGTGTATGTTGAGGATCATGTTGCGCTACGAAGATCTGTTGCGCGAGGATCGATTGTGTGAGTGGAAGCGTCGGCAGAGATTCAAAGTCGCGCGGGACTGCTATCACACTCTCTTGAGAACCTACGTGCCGGAGAGATCGCAAGAAATCGTAGAGGCGGTCGTGGAAACTGTGTACAAAGATCGTCTCTGGGAGTTCGAGACTTTCTGTTACGAGATAATATGCAGTTTGTTGGATATTAGCGCGGCCAACGGTAGTCTGATCACTCATGCGATCTGGGACAAACTGTTGGGAACTTCGAAGGGAGATACACTCGGTGTTGAGGACGCCCGTGGTATCATCCGGGTGCTGCAAGAGCTATTGGATGTGCATGAATGGCCGACGACGGAGGACACATTGACGACGGTGGATAAAATACTCGATCTCTTCTACGCCAGCATAGTCAACACACAATCTGTGACGACCATCTCCGGCAAGTTCTCGTCGGTACCGTTTCTCGCGAACCTCAAGAAGAATCTGGAGATCTGCTTGAGGAACACGATCAAGCACTTGCCGAACGAATATCTGTTACTGCTCGTGCAGCGCATGTGTTCATGGACGGTAGCCGCCACTGCGAGCGACGAGATCGTCTTGGAGTTCGGCAGCACCCTGGAATACGCCGCTTACACGCATCGGACGGGCCTCTACGAGCAAACGTTCACATCGGCGATTTTCCCATTACTGATGCAAATGGTAGGCTCAGCGAGTCAGTTGACTAGTCTGCTGGGTAACCGAGTGCTGCAATACCTATTGGATCGCAAAGAGAACCGAGTGCTCTTCGACACGCCTAGGCTCTTCTTCGAACACACACATCTCGACCTGCGTATCGGCGTGTGTCATAAAGAGGACCGAATGTTCCTTAAGCTGCACCGCGAGTCGCTGCATGATAATCTACTGAGGAGCCTATTAAATCATTCGCAGTCGCGAGTCAATTTGGAGATGACTTATTGCACGATATGCCTGATCGCCGTTGAGATCCCTTGCGGCTTCACCGCCGCTACTTTGGTCTGTCTCGCTATGAATCTACAAGAGATCATCCTGCAGCGACGGAAGGCCTACGCGGATATCGAGACCTTTCACATACACGCCACGATCATTTCCATAATGTCTCTGCTGTGTTGGATACATCAAGCCAAAGTGTTCTACAGCTATGTGAATAGGATCATGATGGAGCGGGCACAGTGGGCACCACATCTGAATCCGCCCATCCAGTCTCAGTACAGCTTTGCGGTGCATCACGTACTCTGGAAGAAACCGGAACTCTTCTTTGTCGACTGGCAGACACGATATGGTCTCTGGAAGTGTTTCCGTCTCGGCGATAAAGCCTCGTTAATTGACGAATTGTAGATTTAACTTCCTGCAAATTTAGAAGTCTACAATCTCAGAGATTGTAGATTTTTTATTAAATTTTTAAAAAAATTTTTATTGTAAAAGAGAGAGAGAGAGAGAGAAAGCAAGCCTCTGTGAACGAAACCTATAAAAGAAAGGACTTTGACACAGAAAAAAATCGCTAAACTATACAAGTACTTATAAATGTAAGTATATAAGCACATACATTTACAAGGCAGTAAAATAATGTCCCGTAAAAATCAGGAAATTCGATTATCTTTACTCTTTAAAGATCCATAAAAATAAGAATCTGTAAATTAAATGTTTTCTAATACTAAGAATTTGAAAAGAGAGCTAGAAATTATATTCTATACTTAATAGATTGTGTTATGTAAAATAGATTAACTCATTTTATACTCTTTATATTTGCATATATTTTTTCTTTTTGTTACATCAATATTATAGTAAAGAATTGTATTCTGTAGTGCAGCTAAGTTATTACCATTAAGCTGCAACATATATTTAAGTATGCTATCAGAATAACATGACAGAAGAGACAGTGAAATCCACCCATTATTGCAAGTTGCAGTGATGTAATTGCATCAGTATACAGTACAAGTTATTACGATATAATTGCATCAATATCAATTACACCTATTTTATTAGACTGACAACATATATAATTCTAGGCCTGACTTAATCAAGTCAATCAACTTCTCATTCATTATATATATTTATATATTGTATTTTTACTATGTCAGTATTATTGATGCAGACGAGTAGATACAGTCATTGTGATTCGCAGACTATATTGTTACAATGTATTGATATTAATTATATTGTTATATATTTTGTTTTTTTGCGATGTATCAGAGGGAGAGAAGGAGAGATTTCGTTTTGGTACCAACTGATGGAAAGTGTCACGCTATGCAGCGACGCCATTGCTCCGGGTATTGTACACGCCGCCATCTCGGGGCGCTCCATAGTCGCATGATTTATGGCGCACTGGTTTTGTAATTCGCAAATAACAAAGTGACTCAGAGCTGCTTAGACTATCGTGCGTAATGAAAGCTGTATCGTTGGTTTTACGCCTGACGTTTCCTTCCGAATCCTGGAGAAAGTTCGAACAATGAAACTTGTACCCGAACATCTCGTTTGTATATTTCGCTCCGTTGTTGCAATATAAACGACGATCCTCGCAAAGTCTTAAAACGGCGTGGGAGCTTCGTCGTTGTAATCGTCATCATTTTCGCAATGCCAAAGAGCAATTGTTAAAGATTCATTTCTTCAGTCCAGTGCTACCTGAGGATTTTCCAAAGAATCGTTAAAAACAAGGAAACCCACTGCACGGGTCTAATCGGTAAGTGTAATAATGCCTTTTTGCAAACTATTGACATTCACAAAGGAAAATGCATTACGCCCAAACGAACTTTCAGGATACTATGAAAATTTTTTTATTTTCACATTTGTATTTTGTATATAATTTTCAATTTCTATATTTAATAATTTTATATTGCATAATTATTTTATTAAGTTACTTTGACATTTTAAAGAAAGCTTGATATCAAGATTATTATTTATAGATTATTATAAAAATCAATGAAAGTTAAGAAAAATAACAGTTAAGAAAAATAACAGTTAAGAAAAATAACAGTACATACAGATGTGATTTAATGTAATATTTGCAAACTAAGTTATAATTTCTTTACAAAATATATGTGTTTTACATAGGTACAATGTCTGGCGAACAATTTTCTTTAGTATGGAACAGCTTTCCAAGAAACCTGTCTTCGGGCTTGTATACTTTATTAACAGATGAACAACTCGTGGATGTTACACTGGCAGCTGAAGGCCAAATCCTGCGAGCCCACAAGCTGATATTGTCAGTCTGCAGCACATATTTTCGAGAGCTTTTCAAGGTATTCCTTGGAAAATATTTAGAAACTACAAGTGCTTTTGTTACTTTATCATAGCTGATACTAATACTTCTAATGACTCCTTTTTTTCATATAGATGAATTCGTGCAAACATCCTATTGTTATACTGAAAGATATCAGTTATCGGGATTTATCATCTATGCTGCACTTCATGTACCAAGGAGAAGTTAATATAAAACAAGAAGATATTTCTAGTTTTCTTAAAGTTGCAGAAACTCTTCAAATAAAAGGATTGACTACTGGATCAGATGAGGTATTTTATAATATATCTGCAAATTATCTATGCAAAGCTTGGAAAAAATACTAACTGAAAGTAATAATATATAAGAAGAGAGTTTATTTGGAAGGAGAGAATATTAATGTTGTCATATAAAGAGATTTTTTTTAACATTTTGTATAATCTCTAATATTATTGATTCCATTGCAGAAGCTCAGTGATACTCTTGAAGGAAAGAAAGACTGGAAAGACTTAGACTTTTATCTTGACAAGGATGAAGATAATCCTGACAATACAGATGGACGATCACTTAGACACACTATAGAAAAGGAGCAGTCAACGACAAGGCAACACATCTTGACAGAAAGTTTAAAAGAAAGACCTTTCACGGAACAGGCATTACGTGACAGCCATCAACAAGTTCACACAGAACCTGGCGACTACAATCTTCCACCAGACATACGGACAACGTATAGCGAGAGATGTGCAAGCGCGGACGCACCGAGCAGCAACGTCGAACCGTTGGACTGCACATCGTCAGACGTGAATCAACTGCAGAGTACTAAACACGAACCACTGGATTACACATTGGAGACGGACACAGACGTCGAGTACAACAGATCGTGCGTGGAGAAAGTACTGTATAACTCCGAGGAGAACGCGCAGAGACAAGGTAGTGATCCCCCTTCTGCTCCCTGTCGACATCTTGCACTTGTAAAGACGACAACGACGACGATTGACTAGATCGTTAGACTGAATAACGTCGACAAAACATCGTCATCCGGAGCTGAAACGCCCTTCGGCCAAAAAGAGAAATTTGCCGGCGGTACCAGCGGTACACCGGAGCGCCGTCGCAAAGGTTTGACGCACTCAAGTGTTGCCACGGATGGATATGTGTTACTTTGTTATCGAGAATCATTATCACGTGTTTGGCTGCTGCGACAGTTGCAAATTCCTACAAGCACTTTATTACATGCTACTTGACTACAACCCCCGGTGCGATAGCGTGAATTGCGTGGATTCGCCGACGAATGATGGAGGTCTCACCTACAATTTTCCGTGATGATTCCTTGACGGTGCGCTGAGATTCAGCAAAACGTATGTGTAACTGTTGGTGCGATTTTTTCTGGTTTCATATCAAGACACGGAGACCGTGGTTCATTAAACTTGTTCGCCGGGGGTGAAGTCAAGTTAGTTTTTCTACGATCAACGCAATATCACGTTTGCATGCTCACACGAATGGGTGTTTCAAATCCGAGCGAGCGATGTATATATCTCGAGTATACTCTCCGTACAAATTCACCAGGCACCTTCATCTCATGCGGTCATGGATGTTTAGAGAAAGCGATATTGTCTTACAGATTTCGCGCCAGATACGCAGTTAGTTCCCTACAGTCAGAACTCACAAACTCAACCGTTCGGTACGTTTGACGTCTTTGCCACATTCTGCTTATCTCATCCATTTCCTTCATTTATCTTTTATTCGTCAGATTGCACATTTGAAAGGGAACCAACTCATGAGACATGTTCCTGTTGCGAAATGTAGATTCGAACGATGATCCGGTCGCTCTTGTATCTCAGTGCAATTTCTAGATTGCTTTTCTCTAAAAAACAAATTCCATTTGTCTTTCTTCAAATCACAGGATTCTCACGCTATGTTTCAAATACAGCTTTTATGTTGAATACAGTGTTGCAAATGTGCACAGACAATTCTCTCCTTTTTCTTCCTATATTTTTTCCTCTTTTACAAGCACCTATTTGGCATGTTTCTCTTGCTATCGAATTTGACATATTCTCTCTCTTTAACGCTCTTTCGCATTTTTTCTTTTCAGGTCCAAGCAACGTGACAGCATTTCAGGGTGATTACACGTCGTATGATGCGTCGGTGAGTCCCAGTAACAAAGGTCGACGTACTGTTAAAGGTATTCCCAGCAGCAGCTTACCTCTGGAGACAACGTTGCGTGTCGTCTCGGAATTAGGACCAACGCTGCGCTTTGAACGCGGCAAAATGATACGCATGTACTCGTGTCCGTGGTGCTTGCGTCACTTCACACGGAAGGAGAACCTCAAACTCCATGTCCGTTATATTCACGGTCCGCTTGAAAGTCTCACGTGTAAGCTTTGTGGCAATAAATATAAGAACAGTAACAGTCTGCGTGTACACTCCTACCTCTATCACAACGCCAAGCGGGATAAGCACGGCAAGCCGCTCATGGACGGCGGCGGTGATGGCGGCGGTGGTGGCCACGGTGGTGCCGGTGGAGACGGCGGTGTCGTGTGAACAGAGACTAGAATCTCTCCTTTTTTTACGAACTTTCGTCAAGGACTTTGCGTGACTTTCGTGTTCACGGTGCAAAACCGGTGCAAGTATATATAGTGGACGGCGAGTGGAATTTGTTATATTTATATTTGCGTACGATGTTACACTCGCACAAGTGTATTTAAACATTAAATAATTACCATTTCAATACATTTATAGAAATAAAGCGCCTTATTGTATACACATTCTTGCAGACCTATCGCCTACCCCTCTTATCCATCCGGATATCGTCACGGAACTCCTCCAAGATCCACTGTCGTTCTCAAGATAAGCAAAAGAATATGAGAGTGCGTGTGTGACATATGCTTCGTTCTCATTTGCGAAAAATTGGATTTTGGAAAAATAAAATTTTATATCAAGTCTTGAAAACTGATGAAACATCGATTATTTCTCGAAATATATATCAAGTTAAAGGTGTGTAAATTTATAGTTTTCTTTCTATACGATAGCTTGGTTGCCGTTTCTTGAATATTATTAGATATTCTGTTTATATATTTTTTCTAGAAGAATAATTAAACTTACACTTATTAGATGTGGATATGCAGCGCATGTTGTATCCTCAAAACTAAAATATTCATATCACCTCTTTTGTTTATGCTCTTCGTAACATGTAATCGGTCTTTTATCTACTGAAAAAACGTAGATAAAGGGACAGTATATTATAGACTATATCTAGATTACAATTGTAAATACAGATAAAAATAAGATTGCGTAAATACTCTATGACTATTTTAAATAAAAGAATGATAATTATCTTGTCTATAAGAGAGGAGAATAAAAAATAATGATATTTTTAGATTTTAGATTTTTGAAAAAAAATTCGATACATAGTAGTTTTAAATTGAAATAAACTAAACACACAAAATATGATAATTTTTTAATATAATATAAACTATTAATAATTAATTGATAGTTTAATTAAATTTTTCTAATGTGCAGCAGTTCTATACATTTGCTGATCCTTATAAAAGAAAACAGTCGATACGTTGCGTTGTTTACTTAGACTCTTCCAGTGATTGCAAAAGAAAGTAATAAGATAAAGTGGTGTTCAAAATCTGTCAACAAAAGCAACGAATTAAATTAATATAACTAACATTTAAATTACTTTCTGTTTCAGATATAAATAGCAAATAGATAGAGGATCGCCCAAATTCTACAAGTAACGGTTTCGAAAGAAACCGATAGAAATCCAAGAAAATTCTTGCGAAACACCTTGACGAAAAAGATACAATTTGACAAATTTATTGAGAGTAAGTAAATCTATATCTAAAAATTTTAAATTTAAACTTTCTGCGTTCTTCTTCTTATTCTTATAAAATAATTCTCGTATATTCAATTGTTGGGAGAACGTGAGAGAAAGGATAACGCGAAAAAGTTCCTTGATTTGATTGCACGATAAAAATCGAAAGCAACTCATTCAGGCGATAAGCCTCTGCTGAGATTTACTCAGCTGTCGACTGCGTATTGATTCAACACTCACGCTGGTAAACATGTTGACATTTACGGAAGACACCTTTAACGCCGTTATAGCCATTGGCTTTTGCAACATCATCATGACAATGTCCGCTCTCACGTGACAATCGAGCTTGGAGTCTGGCCATTCACCGAAATAAATTCCCTCGCGAAAGTGCTCACTCTAAATACTCGAAATAATTGACTTCGAATCAAATAATGATTATTCGTTTTTAAAATATTGTTAATCGAGACGAGACTCACCGCGCTCGTGATGAGACTGCCGTACCAGGCGTAGATAAACGTTTGCAGCAATTTCATCGCTATGCAAACGACGGAAAAGCATAATTGGTCGATCGCCGTGTCTGTAAACTGTTCCCAAACAGCACAAATATCTGAAAAACATCTAAAAAAAGGTAGATTTTATTCAGGTAACAGAAGGTTCTAAAAAAAAAATATCTTGGAAACGTCTAAAAGACGTCTGAGAAAGTAAAACGTGTTTTAAACGCTTTTAAGATACCATTATAAAATATTTTGTAGAAATTTCTGCTACCTAGGTAGAAGTTATTGTTGTCTGCATTATTATGACTTCTCGCGCGAATTAACATTGTCATCGTAACGACATTGCGACATGTTACAGTATGTGTTACCTTAGAAAATAATCCACGAAACAGAAAACATTATATCAATATTTTGAAATATCGATTTTATGTGTGTCTCTTGAACTTTTTTGCTTAATATTATAAAAATATTTCAAAGAAAACACGGAGTAGTTTATCTCCTTGAATTTTACAAAATTCAAAATGTTTTGGAAATATTGAAGTGCCCAAATTACTCGTAATGTCAAAAACTACATATCAGAAAACGTTATACGCTATTAAATATCGTAGTAATAATGTCTTATCAACGACTTTTTGCTTATTGGAAAGATATTTTTTTTTTTCGAATTTCGCTACACGCGATTCAATCGTTTTTTTACGTACAGTGCTCGCCTCGAAAATCAATGTGCACATGAGCACGGCGTTGGCGAGGATCATCCGTAGGATAATAAGTCCATAAACGTCCTCCAATAGACTTGCGGACTTCTGCAGTCGGTGATGTGTCTGCACGCATGATTTTAGAACCACGGAGAACACCTCGTCAGGTCGTGGATTCATCAACCGTGCGGACATGGCTCGCAATATCGAGGAGATCTGGAACGCGTAAAAGCCGAAGAGACTGTCAACCGCACCGATGGTGAACACTATCCACCAGCAGGTGAATGACTGATACAGAAACAGCAGGTAGAAGAAAGTATCGCTGTTTGACGACCACGGGAACTTGTACGGCCATTTGGACTTCGGGACAGTTGTCGAATGGAAGATTAATGGCTGGATGATCACGTTCATTATCCCGGACAATATATGAAACCCAACCGTAAAGCCTAACATAAAGACCAGTGCGTAAGAAGATCTATCAGATGCATACAGAGATACGAGCATGGTCTTTTTGGTCCTTTCGTCTCGCGCTAGCTCCTGTTCAAAAATTTGGTTCAACGTATTGTGCAGCTCGAGCAGCTTCTCCCGTTTCACCAGGAAGCAGCACGACTAGAAGAGAATAATAGAAGGACGCGTCGTGTTTAGTTATTAATTGTAATTATTGATTGCACGTTCGAAGAAATCAAATCGCTTACTAGCTAGTTCAAAATTATGAATTGAACCAGAAACGTTTCTGAGTAAGATCTTTTGCGGTAGGTTTTTTCCAAAAAATTGCTTCAAGAAACAAATTTTCTATTAGAACTTTTGAACAATCATCGAGACGATTACGCGGATTTCTCCGACCGTGAACGGCCAAACGGCAACGTCTTCTACATATATGTAGTACGCGTTTTGCTAGGAATACCATCAGAAAAGGCGTGATGAAACTGGTAGCCAGGCCAAGACACTTGAATACGATCAACAGATTGTTGAAGTGATCTCGGCAGAAATTGAGTACGCAGATAACTTGATTGAGGCACATGAAAATCACCAAGAGACTTGTGACGTACGATTGAACGACTGGGTGTGTACGGTCTTGCAAGACACCGCCGAGATACAGCATTTTGCGAATGCGACAAGCATACGAGCGATAACGCAGCACCAGGAGGTCGTCGGCCGTGGTAATTGCTGTTGCGCTCGAGGATCGCTCAGATTGGCGACCCATGGTTGATGGGGTAATAGGAAGAAGACTGACGGGATTACTGGGTAAGGACAACACATGTAATATAACCGGAAATTGTCGATAGACTGCCACGTAAATGTGTTCCTGCTCGCAAAGAGTTTCGCGTAATGATGCGAACGAACTTTTGATTTCATGCCTTCGAAATGCTCGCATCGTTAAATCCGTCGCGGGGGCGGAATAATTGCATGCTCGACGTTGCTCCCTACAAAGTACGCTATACTTTCTATTCTACGAATCACCAAGTCCTCCTCGTTACAGCCATGAAAGATTAAAGATCAATGAGGTCAATTGAAGGAGCATGACCTCGCGCTGAATGTAGCCGAACATAAGCATATATCGGCACGACTAAACGTTGTCGACATGGGTCGCTACGAAAAAACGGACAAAAGTGAAAAAGTGATTCGAAGTCATTGACTGGCCTATAGTGAAAATATGGAAATTAGTTAGCGAGATGTTTGATATGTTATAAAAAATTCGTGATGTATAATAATATTCTGTGAAATTATTCGGCAAAATAACTTCAAAGTGAGATTTATTTTACAATTAATTTATTATTATGGATTCTTAGATTTAAATTTTTCGTATTATTGATATATGAAATATTTTTGATAATTAATATCTTGGATAAAAAATTCTGCTGGAGCCTATTGGACAATTAAAAGAAAAATCATATTTGATATGCTGTTTCTTTAAAAAATTCAAATATGCCGCGATAATCGAATTACGATATGAGCCACGCACAATCGCGACTTTGCATTCGATTTTGACCACGAGTGCAGCTAATTTCAGCTCGTGCAAGCTCGTGTTTCCAACCGCTATTTGGTGAGATTGAGCGGAGCAACGAAGAAATTCGAGGAGTGTTTTTGCCGTGTGAAAAATTATAATTAAAATTTTGTGAAAATTTGCGTGCGTCCGTCTGAAATGGGGACAAAGTTTGAATGATAAGTATGACGTGACTTTTGTCAAATTCGATTGAACTGACGAACCTAACCTCATTCTGTAACTTTTGTTGCGTTTGGTTGCGTATCGTTCCGAGTGAATCGGGTGACAAACCGCGTCCAGAATGGCGGTCGGCTCGACGAAGGTTGTCCAGGTGACCAATATCGCGCCCCAAGCTACCAAGGACCAAATGCAGACTCTCTTCGGATACCTCGGCAAAATTGAGGATATCAGATTGTATCCTACAATTAGGGACGTCGCCGTGCCCGTACAGTCACGCATATGCTACATCAAGTTTCACGACCAGGGTTGCATCGCCGTGGCGCAACACATGACTAACACTGTCTTCATTGACCGTGCATTGATAGTGATCCCTTACCAGAACGGAGACATTCCAGATGAACAACGTGCTCTGGAGCTTACTAACAATGGCACAGTCGTACCAGGTATGTATAAAATGCTATATAAATATACAAAAATTAATATAGAGACAAATACATAAAATGTGTCACAATTTAAAGTTGTAATTAATGGAATTTCTGAATATATTACAAGGATAACAGAGTAATATATAGAAGCATAAAGTTCTAAGTTTACCAACTTGTAATTACTCACACTTTAATAGTCTTTTCCAATTAAGAGAATGTTCAAAGATTAATAAAGAATCTATACACAAATAGAATAGTGTAATTAAACAAATAAAAAAACTGTAATTTATATAGGCTCATATTCTGAACCCTCTTTTATCGATAAAAGTGCCTTAAATATAGCTTTTCAGCCAATCAGGTGGCTCCTATGCCTCATTTATAGATAAGAGACACTTTTATAGATAAAAGAGGATTCAGAATATAGACCTTAGTCAATAAGTATAAAATTTATTAATTAAAAAATATTCAAATATTGGTCCTTGACCAGATCCTGATTGAATGTAAAAACTAAAGCGTTTGGATGTTCTGACTAATAAATTTTATGTTTACTGACTATATGTAAGTCACAGTTTCACAGTTTTTACTTGTTTGGTCACACTATTACACTTGTGTGTAGGTTCTTATTGACTCTTATATATATATATATATATATATATATATATATATATATATATATATATATAAATATTCTCTTGATCGGATAATTATTAAAACTTTTTTATTCATAATTTCTTTAATTTGTTATCTTTTTCAGGCCTCTATCCATCGGAGCCAAAGTTGCCGCCGAACGTAGTGAACGCCATCGAGGGTATCCCTCCAAACCATGTCATCACCACGATGGACCCCAAGTTAGAAACGAATGGTTTGCCGTCTTACCCGCATCTACCGGGTCACTTGGATAGCAGACGTATCGAGGAGATCCGCCGAACACTGATAGTGGCGAATCTGGATGCGTCGGTGAGCGCCGAGCAGCTGTTGGAATTCTTCGGCAACAACAACGTGGAGATCAAGTACCTGCGTATGTGCAGTAGGGACTCGGACACCGAGCACTACGCGCTGGTAGAATTGTCGGAGCAAGGCGCCGTGATCGCCGCGCTGTTGCTGAACGGAAAGTCACTGGCGGAACATCCGATTAAGATCTACCACTCGACGCAGGCGATCGCGAAGCCGGAGGCGAAGAGTAATGAGGCTGCACAGAAAGAGATAGAAGAGGCGATGTCGCGGGTGAAGGAAGCGCATAATCTCATCTCCGCGGCGATCGACCCGATGATCGGCATGCTGTCCAAAGATAAACGCAGCAGGAGTGGCTCGCGCAGCCGGAAGTCTCGCTCGCGCTCGCGTGGCCGCAGCCGGCGTTCCAGGTCGCGCAAAAGATCGCGCTCACGCCATCGACGTTCGCGATCTCGTCATCGTCGTCGCTCGCGTTCGCGCTCCAAACGCTCGAGGTCGAAGGAGCGCCGGCGCAGCTCGCCGTCGCGACGACGCAGTGGCTCGCGCAGTCGTCACAGATCACGCTCCAGATCACGTCGATCAAGGTACTAAAAGACTTCGCTTTTCATGAGTTTACTTCGTTAATATCGTGTAGTTCTATCTACTTGAGAATCACTGCACGATTTTGGTAAATTGTATTGTAGTTCTAAAATATTTTGATAATAATTTGATGATCATAGTCGAAACGCTATTAAAAAAAGTTAAACGTTAATAATAATAATAATTTACCAAAATATATTTAAGAAATATGCGAGTAGAAGTTCAACAAAATACTTAGCATTTGTGTATCGCGAATTTGTGCAGCACGCTTCACGTAAGGAAAAGATATTACGCCAACTGTGGACTCTCAGAAAATTAATCTCTCACTTAATTGCAGATCACGCCGCTCGCCGTCCAGATCGAAAGAACGCAAAAAGAGATCGCCACGACGTCGTAGTCGTTCGCGCTCGCGCAGCAAACGCTCCAAGTCGAGATCTAGACGCTCGCGCTCTAAATCCAAATCCAGGTCGTCCAAGTCCAAGTACTCAGACAAGTCCAAGGACAAGGACAGGGAGAGACGTAGCAAAGACAAGTCGGACAATGGTAAGAGAAGTGACAGCGATCGGGAAAGGCCCGAAAAGGAGAGCAAGAGCGAGAAGAAAAGGTCTAGTAAGGAGAAGAAGTCCAGCGACAAGTCAGAGTCGAAGTCTGAGGAAAAAGGCAGATCCGCTTCGGAAAGCAATGACAGCAAGGAGAAGACTACCGAATCGGAGAGCTAGACGGAACAAGCTACGCAATTCGACGGAGTTTCATTCGTATTCGATAATTTCGTCAGTTTTTGAAAGCCATCTTTTGTCTTCATGTATTAATACAGTAACAAAAAAAAGAAGAAAATACATAGCTTTATGGCATTCGAGAGCTTCTTCCTTTCGGAGGTGACGATCCATTCGCTCATTGATAACCGGATGTTATCGCCAACTGTCGACTGATTATTACTTAGATTTTAGGCTTTGACTTTAGTCTTTGACCGCTTTTTTTCGGGACAGGCGGCGGCGGCGGCTTGAAAGTCACCTCATCATTCACTTCTATCAAAGGTACTTTTGATGGCCTTAAACAGTCATGAAAAACAGTGTGCTATGATATGCGATTTGATTATGATGTGTATCAGTCTTAACTTATTGCATAGTATAATTTTAATTGAGTAAAGACAAAACTGTCAACGTTATATGAACTAATTGTTATAGCGACGATTTAAGTGCACTGTAACAACATCAACATTAATATGTACAAACGATGGATCGTACGGAAGGAAATATGTCTCTCTCTGAAAAATAATACTTCGAGACGATTGTACCTTTAACTGTTGAATTATTTTCTATATTAAGAAATGAACGAGCATACCCAGCTATTGCCTGATTCTCGTAAATAACCACGTCGTCGTAAATCTTCATTGGTACTGGCGCGCGGAAGAGCGATCTTTGCACATTCTCTATGGTAGTTCGTCTCTTTAATACCATCTGTAATTTTTTTTATATGTAATTATCTTCCAGCATTGTATTTCTCCCCGAAACCAAAATATGTTTTTTTTTTTTATATTATCTCTCACCATTCCAGTGTTTCTGTCATGCAGTGAAGACATTTCCATCGAGCTATCCATGTGAACTTTTCTGTGTAATACATCATCCACTTGGTTACCTCCTGTGAATTACGATGAACATTTTCTGTATAATGTCTCGAGCGCTTCTGGGATATTATGCAAAAGCCGTTAAATTAAATATTTTCAAAGTTTACTTACGCATTACTAATTCGTCGTACTGGCCGAGTGGGTCTATTTCTAAAAATATGGACAATGTATTGGGGTAACGTAGATCCATGAATATCATTATGACCGCCAGAAGAACACAGAGTACACCTGGAGAAGACGTACGTAGAGGGATACGTAGAAGATATATACGCAAAATATATAAAAGAAATAAAACATTATCAATATAAAAAATATCGTACTTTAGGAATTTAATTAAAAGAACAAATTAAGTAAGAGAGCGAATGTTAGTGACTTTGTCTCTGTCAATGTTGGTATTGATGATTTGAGAATTCAAAGCGAGAAGATGCGGAAACTAAAACTATTTTTATGTAAAGATTTCGAGATCCGAAAACTCAAGGTCATTATCTAACTTTTTAGAATCTTGAAGTTCAAGAATCAATGATATTAATGTTTTAAGGATCATTTACAATGTGGTCGTAATTACGTTTTAAAGTCGACGAATTCAATAAAACTCATTTCTCATGAATTTACGTGAAGGAAATAAATATATCATCGATTCACAGATTAGTGCTATAACTTTAAAATATAACTACGATCGCATTGTAAATGATATTTTAAGGTTGCTCTTATAAAAATAAGTAATCGATCTGATCGATCACCACATCCGAAGGTCATCCAGAAGTGCGCGCCCAACGCCATCCTGATTTCTTCTTTATCGAAAGGGATCACAAGTGGAGTCGGATTGTGCACAGAAACCCATACGAGGCAAGTCAACAACTGCAAGCTGCCGATTATGCCGATTAAGTAAGCGGCGTATCGACTCACGGACTGCAGGAATATATTAGCTAGAATCCAGCAAGCGAAAGCTGTCCTGCAAATTACAGATAATTTCAAGTTTTTCTTGTTAAAATATCTTTCTAACAGTGGCATGATTTTATAGAAAGGTCCATGTAATTTCTTATTTTCACTTACAGATTCGAGTTTGTAATGCTACGAAGATTCTGCTCTACGAGAAATAGATACGTGAAAGTATTTATTTCTTTATCTAGCTTCGAGCATGAAATTTTCAAGCTCATCGTGCTTTTATAATAGAAGAAAAAACAGAGTGACGTTTCGGACAGCTGTCCCACACCACTGTTCTGTCTTTTATACTTACCAAAGCAAGATGTGACAGTACCAGCCGGCTGTTCGATAGAACCGCCCGAATCGAAAGCCTTCCCCGTCGATAACGAAATACTCGGCAATCCATAAAATTGGAATAGGCAAGCCTTTCCTCTGGCCTTCGCGGAAGGTCCTCTGTAGCAGTCCGGCTGCAGAAATGTTTTCATTAACATCATTTTATACCGAAACTATAAAAAGTGAAGAAGTACTTGCACGCTATCTACCGTAAGGCCCAAAACCGATTCTACCCTGGTCCCATGTCCAAGGAAATCTTTCGTTGTAATCGATCTTTTCCTTTGCTAGCGTCGTATTTTCTTCCGGATTGGCTAAAGAAATCTTTAATAAAAATCTAACGAATCGTATTATCTTTTTGCTTATCTATTTTATCATTTTTCTTTTATTCATTCAGTTTTCTTTTCGCTTTTTTTTTATTTTTTACGTTTAGCGTGAAAATTTTAAAGATATACGAACTTTATACCTTTATTTTTTACTTATTTTCACGAATTACCTTTCAGAGTGATATTCACCGATCTTAGTCCTATCTTGACTTCCATTTGGGCATCGATTTGTTGACCTGTGCCGGCCCGATAGGGCGTTTTGCCCCTCGCGCTACCATATTCCCATTTCTGACCAAAATTCTCTACTGCAAATTGACGTTCAGCTAGTTAGGATGCAATCATAAGGTAAAAAAAATTCTGTTTGAAATATTTACCGATTAGCAGGCATCCGATAACGATGCTTAAAGCAACCTTTATGGCCATGTAGATGCTCTATACGATAACGAGAAATTTTTATTAGTGCATTGAATTTACGCAGGAAGAATGTTTAGAATTTCAGTGAAACTCAGGCAGATTATAAATCGGACAACATATACTTAATGTAATATTAATCAATATTGTAAAATCAATTTGAAGGTCTAAGAATACACAGTTCTTCCTCTAAAAAGAAAGAATTCTAAGATAAGAAATAATTATTTCGTTAGATTGTTTAAGAATATGATGCTGTAATTCTAAGCAAATATACGAGTAGATCGTAAAATCGTAAAGTCGTAGCTTACGTATTAATCGTCTACTCATAAGTTCTTACGAGCCTTACGAGAACAAGTTACGAACTTTACGATTTTATCTAGAATTGCAGTATAAGTATAAATTCAACGCGATTTTTCTGTAACTTATTTGCACATGATGCAAATACACGTAAAACGTCGCACAAAAGAAATCCTAAATAATTTTAGATTTATAAGAAATTTTCTCCATACTTACTTCCCTCTTGCGGTAACCTGGTATGATACCAATATAAGCGATCGAGATGATGATAAAGACTGCAACGAATATGGTTTCAATCACGTCCACCGTCACCGCAGTGTGATGTGAAGAATATATCGCAGAAAAATCCTCGCTCCGCCCGAATTGGAAAATACCCATTTTGTGCAGCTACACGACTAACTTTACAGTTGTTTTAAATTCGAAGAATTCAGAAACGGACAATTCAGAATCGGACAAGACCATTTAACGACACTTCAATGAGTAGCGTCATTTGGAAATCCAACATCGACGTTACGGCTTTATCTGAATTCCTTTTCCGGATATTCTTGTACTTGGTGGATGATGACTAAAGCTCTCGCCTCTCTTTATCGTTAAGCTTCCGCAGTTATTGCGGAATCAGTGTCGCGCGCAATTAATTAGAGACGGATATTTTGGTTTCCCAGCGAGAACGTAGACGTCGATTCGACGTCTAACCGACGTCCGAGAAGTCTAAGTTACGTCTAGTTTAAATGCACGTCTAGAAAAATGGCAATTTAAACTTTTAAAAAAAGGTATGCTAAGTTCTCGAAGCGCACTTAATCAG